GTCCGCAACATATTTTATTACATTACGAGGGTACATAAACTTCATTTCACAACATTGTACAAAATACAACATAGTTTTTGGAGGTAATTCTTACATATTTTGCCAAATAATCAGCTTCTTATTTTGCTTCTATTCTAATCGACATCAAGGTGCATCGAAATATGGTATTAAGCAACCGCTGTGTCATCATCGTATGATGCAATGGGCTGATGTCTCCAAACTTGTACATGAAATATCCTGTTTAAATTAATATTTAAATAGCAAAACTCAAAATTATTAGAGGTATAATTTTCAATCTATTTACTTTTTTTTCTTCGTATTATCTTATAAGCTATAACATTTAAATATCATTAGTTCTTATACTCTTGTTTCTTCTATATATATTAATATTGTTTTTCGAAGTCAATACTTGAGACTCGGGGAACAGTAGCTTACTTTGGGCTCTTTAACCATGGCAAAGGTAAAGTCTTCGAACCATTAACTTTGGCAAAGCCTCACTCTCCTCTTTAATTACAACAAAGTGTTACAAAACTTCTCAACTTGTTTGTTTCTTAAATTTGTTGTCTATATCTCCTGTATCTGTATGTAATGATTGTTTCAAAGAAACTAAAACTGAATTTTATAAGGTTGTTAAACAATAATTTTAAATGAAAACTATTCGAAATATCAAATTATGAAACTTTCTCATATGTATATGTTTCTGTTTGAAATTATTGTTTTTGACTTTCTATAAAATCCTAATATAGATTTGGTAATATGGATACTATTTGGATGAAATTGATAAAAAAAATAATGTCAAAACCTATAATTTGTTTGATTATAAAAGTTTATTGATTAGTCTGAAAGTATAAAGTAAATTAAGTGGTAAGAAGAAACGGTCTAAGGATTTGCAAAACCATCAATTTCTTCTTTAAAGTTATCTATTCTTCGAGTTTATTTTTTCCACCGAATATGATAACTGTCCAATTTAAATGTTATATCTTTATCTATTTTATGTAGTCATATTTTTTTGTTTTTACAAAAAGTTTATGAGATGAGTGAAAAATATTTTTATGTTGAATGTTCATAAAAATGACTTTTAGATATATTTTCGTATAAAATTGTCGTTTTTAGCTTTCAACTAGTTTAATTACTGCTTTTTGACTTTCTATAAAATCCTAATATAGATTTGGTAATACGGAAACTATTTGGATGAAATAAATAAATAAAATGTCAAAACCTATTTTTGATTATAAAAGTTTATTGATTAGTCTGAAAATATAAAGTAAATTAAGTGGTAAGAAGGAGCGGTCTAAGGATTTGTAAAACCATCAATTTCTTCTT